ATTTTGTGCTATGAGTGGAAATAATGTTGCCTTATGCAGAGCATCAGACGGCAATAAGTTATAATAGAAAGGCACAGGCTACATCTCTGCTAAGAAGATTGATACACTGGAAGAACAATTTACGCTCACTAACAATTCATTTAAATCACAACCTCGTAGATGTCATCACTGAAAAGGCGGCCAAATTTCACAGAACATTAAGACTTAGATCACATTCACAGGAAGTTGAGGTTCACTTTTCTCTCAGAGGTAAAATGCCAAACTTAAGAAGTTCATTGTGACCATTTGTAGATCAAGAAGGAGTAAGAGCAAATTTCATTTGAATGTTATTAAATTATGTCATGTGGAACACTTTATATGTTAAGGACTTCTGATGTGTGAATTAAAGTGTTAAACGCATTTGTAATAGTGTCTTTCTGGTTTCTCTCTGAATTGTCTCAGTGGTTGTCTGTACTCGTCGTCTAGATAAAATGATTGTAGCCCTGGCCCCTGTATTGTTTCCTTCCCCATGTTCTTCTCTGCGTTTTGTCCTTTTATCTCTCCGGTCCCAGTGTCATGTGTCTTAATCAGGGTCTTTTTGTGTGTTACTTCTTGTTTTTGGTTTTTTTTGGTCTTATGTGCTAGAAGCTACTTTCAGTTCCTTCCTTATTCACACGATGCTATCACAGCAGGAAGCTCCACATCATGTTTGGAGGTGGATTTCTTTTTTTCTTTCTTCTTTTTGTGTTTTTATGCCAGATGGCCTCCTTGATGCAATCCCAGACACTGTTTAACTATTATCAATTACCCAGATTTAGACCTCTGTGTTGAATCTTTGTAGAGTTTACTATGTAACCTACGTAAGTGGTCGATGCCGTTGCCAAAATTCATGCTTATGTGGTGCATTATATGTTAATTACTTTGCTGTTGGGTTTTATATTTGGTGATAATTGAGATAGAAACAAATTAAATACTAGGACTTTTTTCCTTTCTGTGCCCCCACTGTTTGCACATTACCTGATACCCATTCCAATAGTTTCAGATATTCTCTGATATCTCTGATTTCTTATATTTAGGCCATTAGGTTATTCTTCCTTTTGTGGACTTGATGGATCCGAATGATTGAAAAACTTTGGTTAAAAAGTAGCCAGACATGCTTTGGAAGATTTGTCAATACTAAACTGAGCAGTCTCAATAGTTTTGCGCTGTGGCAACATAAAATATATCTATATTACCAGGGAGGCACTAGTGAGGTATGATAAGCTTTAAATTATGTCATAGGTTACTAGGGATGGGAATTGATAAGAATTTAGAGATTCTGGTTCTGTTATCATTGTTACTCATTGATTCAATTCCTTATCAATTCTCATTCGGTTCTCACTGGCTCTGCTTTGAGAGTCACCACCATCTCTAAGCAACGTGTTAAAGACAAAACCTTGAAATATTTCTGCTTTTTGCTATTTTAAAAAAATCTTGAAATTTTTACTTAATACTTAAAATTTAATATGTTATAAATATATGATAATCATGTTGACTTTATTTTGACACTATGTGAAAGAGCTTAAAATAGCACTGTCATTGTACACTGTACATATACTTATAAGTACATAAACTACAATACATTATAGATTATCTTATTAATTTATTGTCATTTTTCCTTCCATGGTATTGAAAATGGCAATGGTTATTGGTTTTTTCTTAGTTATCATATCAAGATTAAATTCTAGTATAATTAGAATCTTAATTTATAGGATGGATCATTTTGTGGTGCTACAGGTACACCAGATTATTTATCATTATTTATCTTTAAATCCTGAACAATGGTAACACAGAGCTTTGTGATTCAATGAAATTGCTGCGTTGCCACCCATGTGAATTAGTAGAGCCCCTCTCGCAAATCATATAATCTCTGCTGGTCTGTAATGACTACAGGTGTTTAATTAACTGCATAGACAGACTGCTCACTTATCAAACTCAACGTCAGTATTGACATTTCTTTGTAACTGGATCACACTTTAGTGGATTGGATTATAGGCAAGAATCTTCATCAGTTGCAGAAATAATCTGTATTTCAGTGCACACGCCACTCTGCAGTAGATGGAAAAAAAAAAGATAAAATAAATTATTAATTACAAATTACAATATTTGCCCGTGTATTGCGGGAGCTCTGCAAGTGCCGTGGCTTAACCACAATTGTTTGGTGGCAGAAAATGACTCAAGAGCTGCATATGAAGAAAAAAAGCCCCACGTGAACCAAACTCCCTTTGTCTCGGTACAGGTTTAGCGCTGCAAAATAGAGCAAAAATAGAGCCACAATTGTGTTAAATGAGCAGTTACACTACAATGGCTTGTATCACGTTGGCTAACACCCTTGGCTAAGCAGTCGTATAATCACTTTAATGTGAGGCTGCTAGTTTTAATCCAGCTATCCAAGATAATTTCCAAATTCTAAAAGCACTGGAAAAAAGACACTCATTACATGCACCAGTGTGTTGCCATTTTAGCCCACAGCTTCACAGCTTTATAGAGACATAGGAGTGACGGTAACATTCCAGCTGACTTCATTAAGTTTCATTTTCCATTTTATCTCTCTTGAAGTGGACGATTAAGCTGGCGCACGAGGGTAACTGATCAGCTAATCTGCCTGTGATTTATGTGGCAGGGAAACTGAGGACTTAACTGAGCCTTGGAACGCATTGATTACTGACATGGTTAATTGGCTAACCCTACTGGTACATTGAGACAGGCTTATTGGAAATGTCAAATCAAGTGGCTAATTTGCATTCATGATGTATGGTGTCTATTCCAGCTTCTGCCCAGGCAGCACAAACTGACAGACATAGCTGTAAAGAAAGGCTTGGGATAAATTTGCAACTGGCCATCTGGCCTTCCAGGACACTGGCATTGGCTGCAACTTTTCCCCAACCCAGCATCCACATGTCTGCGCTTAGCTGGTATGTGATGAATAGAATATGAGCGTATGCATAACTCCTGATGTGAGTGAGACGCAGGACACCTGTGGGCTTTGAGTAAAGCTCCAGCTTTGGAAGGAGATGTAATTGATAGCATAGTGCTGACTGAATGGAAAATTATTTGTTTTTTAAGACATTGTTCCTGAGTATGCATATATGTTTTAGAGATCAAAACGGTAGCTGAGACAATGTTGCCCCAGAAATACCCGCTGTGTAAGCAGATGAAAACAGCATGAAATGGAAAAATGTGGTTTTAGCTGATGGGGTAAAAGATTTCATGTGAAATGAAGGTGGTATGATTTTTCACTGTTTGAATAAAAAGATACAATTGGTTTCCTGCAGGCCATGCTAAGGAATATGTTTACAGAATTTCCCCAAGATACAAATGTACACAAGGAGCATCCTTAGAAATGGCAGCACTTAAAGGGGTTTGTGACTTAAATAGACGAAAACATATTCTGAGAAATCTGACAAAAGTGGACAGAATGTAAAAACAAACAACAGAGCCCAGTTGGCTGTAGAAGAAAGAAAAAAGCCTTTTGCTTGGAGGTTATTTCACTTTATTCTAAACCTTAATTAAAAGCCTTTCTTCACCAAAGCAACAGATGAATGTGTGTGTGTTCCTCTTACTCAATAATGTTCTTAACATGTTCTGTAAATGACACTCATTGGAGGTTCAAGAACCCCGGCATATTGAATAGAATGAGCTTGAGTCATGCAGCACAACTGTAGGAGTCCAAGCTACTCGGGACAAGGTCTGGCAATGAATTGTTAAGGACATGAATTAGCATCTGTATAGGTCTGCCATTCAAGAGGTTTCCCACAGTAACTGAATAAAATACATGCACATTTAATATGCAGAGACATTATTTTCATATCTTCATCCTTGAAGCTGTTCTCTTCTCAATAAAGCAGCAAATGCTGTAGCCTGCAGGGCCATTTGCAAGGTACTGAATAGTCCAAATACATGTCATCCAGTTATCCACTGAATTTGAACAAACCTATAAAGTAATAGGTTTGTTTTCAGAGTAGGTGTGCTCAGTTCTTCAGTTCGTACTTTTCTGACGTAAAGAGAAACTGTGTGAAAGAAATACTGAACCTCAACAAAAAGATCTGATATACTTTATGCAAAACTCTATTTTCCATTTCTGGACACAAAGACGTATTAATTCATTAATTCTGCATGCTTTTAACTATCAAGACTCCTTTTCTCCTCTTTGATGTGTCGACATATCATGTCCATTTCTAGGTTTATATTAAATTATTATAACTCAAAGCTTAAAGTCTTCATCTGTTATATTTAGTCAGGTCTGAAACATGCTGATTCATTAGGTGATTTTAAGTTCAATATCAACCGACTGCTGTCTGGAAATAATCTCTCATCAAACTTCAGCTGGTTTTTTACAATTGTGTCTTCTCTTTTATCATGTGGCCAACTGCATATTGTCCAAAAATGTTCCGCTGCCCTATTTGGCTCATAGACCCAACCATGAGAAGCAAAGCTCATTTTTCTAGGTTTTGGGGAAGTTTTACAAACAAGAAACCGCAATGGAATAAAAATTCATAATGGCAAGAGCAAAGAGTGACCTTGTTTGCACGTGGGGGTTTTCCATCAACAGTTGCAGGGGATTTGTTCATTGTAATTTTGCAGTGGTCATTTTAGGCATTTCTGTTAAAATATTAATGGAAGCTATGGAAACAAACAGAGTAATAGTTATATTTCACTTGGTTTTAGAATGAAATGGTCAATATGTTACCACACAAGCATGAAATATACAAAAGACAGAGTAAACTCGTTCATTGTCCTGCTCACCTCAACCATTACATTGGCAGGATTTCACAATAAAATCTCCGGCTGTTTTAACATTCTGTACTTTTCAGAACACTTTACAATTTATTCAAAGTGTCAATTCTTTCCTTCCCCTTTCTTCTTATGCACTATTGGTCTGCATTAGCATGGGTCTTTTTTTCATCTCATGATCTTACACATTAACTGCTTTTTCCAATCCCCTCATGTTTCTACACTTCTCTCATTTTTTCTTGAAACAGCTCTGTTAGAGGTTGTACATGCCAGTAGAGACTGCTTGGTGGCCGGAGACTCGTGCTCGAGTGATGAGACTTGTAGTCCACGTCTTCGTACTTTGCGCCAGTGTGTGGCAGGCAATGGCAGCATGAAACTGGGCCCGGGCGCCAGGAGCCAGTGTGCCAGTGCAGTGTCTGCTCTGCTGTCCAGTCCTTTACATGGCTGCCAATGTAAACGAGGAATGAAGAAGGAGAAGAACTGTCTAAGCATCTACTGGAGTCTGCACCAGTCTATCATACATGGTATCTAACACACACACACACACACACACACACACACACACACACACACACACACA